CATGTGCCATTAGATTAATCCAAGGGCTTTTATTAAGTAAATGCTCACATGACCTCATTTTTAGGTCCTTCGGTGAGCAGGACTGATATACAGGGTACCCTAATATATATTTGAAAAACAATAGAGGGCAAATGGCTCGGAATGAATTAGAAAGAAGATTTTCTTATATATATTTTTTTTGGTATGCCAAATTAAATGAGTTGTTTCCAATTCATTCCTACTCAAACCAAACATGGGAAATGAAATAAAGTAATATTTACGGGTTACTTTCCCATCAAATCCATTCTGTGAACCAAACGGGGCCTTAAAGAAAAAAAGAAACCTCTCGACTCCATGTGACTTTGTGTAGGGAATTCACAATTTAAATTTCCACCATGTATTTGCATAGGAAAACCCCATAAATAAAAATAACTAAGAATCAAGATATGCTTATGTAATTTTTTTAAAAAACAGATAAGCTTATTCTCTTCACCCTAATAAAAACAATTCTTCTGATATTTATTTCTTGTGTGTGTTTTTCAGTTGGCAATGGGAATTGAATATCCTCTGTTCATGGATGAAAGAGCGATGATGAAAGAGGGGAGGGGGAGGAGTCACCACTTTGGCCAACACTTTACCCCTTACGGGCCGACCCGGTGTGAATGGGGATCAGTCTGGGTTGTGGTTAAGGCTTAAAGGTGCCACCCATAGTTGGGGCCCATCTAGGATCACCTCATGGTTCATACCAAAAAAAAAAAAAAAGGGGAGGGGTTGGCAATGGGAATTGAATATCCTCTGTTCATGGAGGAAAGAGCGATGATGAAAGAGGGGAGGGGGAAAAGACGGCTAGGGAGGAAGAAGAGGGATGAAAGTGCATCTCTAATTTTTTTTAATTTTATTTTTGTGGGTTAGAATGGTTAAAAAATAGTTGTTTGGGTAAAACAAGGGGATATGATGAGGGTTTAAATTACTAACAACATGTGCCATTAGATTAATCCAAGGGCTTTTATTAAGTAAATGCTCACATGACCTCATTTTTAGGTCCTTCGGTGAGCAGGACTGATATACAGGGTACCCTAATATATATTTGAAAAACAATAGAGGGCAAATGGCTCGGAATGAATTAGAAAGAAGATTTTCTTATATATATTTTTTTTGGTATGCCAAATTAAATGAGTTGTTTCCAATATAATAAATTTTTTTAGTACTCCTTCAATGCTTTCTTACATCCAAGATATACAGGGTACCCTAATATATATTTGAGAAACAATAGAGGGCAAATGACTCGGAATGAATTAGAAAGAAGATTTTCTTATATATATATTTTTTTGGTATGCCAAATTAAATGAGTTGTTTCCAATATAATAAATTTTTTTAGTACTCCTTCAATGCTTTCTTACATCCAAAAATGAAGCTAGTCACAGTCAAAAGGGTGGATGTTGTTCGTTCATTCACTCAAAAACTGCAGGGTAGATAGAATTCCCCACAAAAAGCAAATGGCATCAGCAATCAAGTAACTCAACCTGACCAAAGATTCAAACTTTGGGCCACATTCTCAGTTAGAACTTAGGCTTAGTTTGGTATTGCTGTGCTTTTAAAAAAAACTGCTTCTGCTGTGCTGTGAAAATAAACAGCTGTGAAGTGAAGAGATGTTGTTCGTTCATTCACTCAAAAACTGCAGGGTAGATAGAATTCCCCACAAAAAGCAAATAGCATCAGCAATCAAGTAACTCAACCTGACCAAAGATTCAAACTTTGGGCCACATTCTCAGTTAGAACTTAGAAGGTTGTGGTACAATTCATATCATGCTTCTGCACTCAAACATGAACTTATCTATCTGATTATTGATGCAGAAAACCAAAAAAACCTAAAATTATCATAAGAAATAAAAAATGTATACTTTTTTCCCCCTTTTGTTTCCTCCTTTCTTCTTCCTTTCCAGGCCCCATTCCCTTTTTTTTTCTTTCTCCCTCGTCTGCTTTCTCTTTTCTTCTTCCTTCAGGGGCCCCAATTTTTTTTTTCCTCTCCCTCTTCTCTCCTTCCTCCTTTCTTCTTCCTCTGTTTTTTTCTTTCGTCATCTTCCTCATCCAAAATCTTCAAGACAAAACTTGTTTTTGTTGTGATTTCATACAAATTCTTGTTATAAAGACACCCGTCCCAGTTTTTTTCTTTTCTTCCTCTTTTCCTCTTCCTTCCCAGGCCCCCCATCTCTCAACCTTTTTACCTTTCCTCTTCTCCTCCTTTCTCTTTTCTTCTTCCTTCCAAGACTTCTTCCCTTCCCATGTTTTTTTTTTATTTCTTCCTCTTTACTTCTACCTTCCCAGCAACCCCCGCCCTCTTTTTTTTTAATTTTATAAATTTCTTCGTCTTTTCTTCTACATGCCCACCTCTTGGGGATTTGATTTTCTTTTGCTGAATGAGATAATTGGTTGGTAATCTGGGTGTTGAATTTTTTGTTGCCGCGTCCCACATACACCCTTTTCTTCATCAACATGTGCATCTGCATAACTGGTATAAGAAGATGCATATCCGCATTGTTCAGAAGCACGTAATACTAAGTAAAACAGCAAACTAAAATATCAAATTTCTTAGTCATCTAATGGCTCCTTCAGAAACCTGTGCTTTGTCAATGGAAATTTGAATCTCTATAGGGTCGTCTGAAGATAACATAGATTCCCTAACAAAGGCTTCTTGATGTCAGTACCTAAAGCTATAACACATCAATTCTTTCCATTTAAAATTGTCCAAAATCAATGTGAAATAACACGAACACAAGTAGCATGGAAATGATATCTCTTCTGCAAAACACTGTAAAGCCACGAGCATATTCTGGTGGAAGCTGGTTATTCACCACTTCCAATTAGAAAACGTCCTGCCAGCAGTATGTTCCACGTTGGACTTAATCACAGATTAATAACAAGATGTGACCTAATAAACCAACTGGGCCGCTCAAATCTATCTGTGACTAAAGTATGGTTTCACCCTTCTTCATTTTCTTTTTTCAACCATGCGAAAACTGATAAATTGTTGTCACAGATTTTATTGCTTTATCAAAATTTATCACCATTCTAGAATGTAAACAACAAAGTGCTAAGCTTTGTAATTTCTTTCCTATCCCAAGTTTCGTAATCACGTATCCAGAGTTTCCCAACAACTTTGCATATCACTAACAAGATTACATGCAAAATTCTGACAAATCAACAATGCTTAGCACCACAATACTGCAACAACAGATATGAAACGAAAATTGAAAATCTCATCCATAAAATATGTCAAAATTTATATATTCATACTGAATTTAAACTTATCACAGTGTTATAACCGAAACGCATTATGAATAATCCACAAAAATTATGAACTTAAGCTAAACAACCGAAAACTTCACTTACCCAATTGCTTCCCAACCCAAACCCGCCAATTTTTCTTGCTCAATCAATACATTCCTCTACTGTTGTTGAGAATCGACCCCAGCGTGCCCAAAACTGCGAAAGCCAAGAGCGGACTAACATCCAAGGTATCGAAAATCGGCGGGATTATGTTGCGAAAGAGATTCAAATAGGGATCACAGAGGTCCCGAATCGCCGAAAGGGGTTGGCGGTCCCAAGGAATATTGGGGAACCAACTGAGCAAAACCCTAACCATCAAAACCCCACTGTAGATATCGAGCCATTTGGAGAGTCCGGCGGCGACCACCGTCAACGGCGTGTTCAAGTAGCCGCTCGGGCGGTCTCCGAGCGCCGCGAAGAAGAGGGTTCCGGTGGCGGAACCGATGGAGGGTCCGAATTGGGATCCGAATTTCAATAGTGAAATTGAGAGGTTGCGGACGACGGCTAGGGTTAGGGCGAAGAGGGTGGTGAGTGTCCGAGTAGGGAGATGGGCTAGGGGTGGTGGGGACTGAGATGGGATTTGGGTATTTAGGGTTTTGGGGTTTGTGGTGAGAGAGGTGCAGAGGGGTCTGAGGGAGAATTTGGGAATTTTGTTGGGGTTAAGGTTAGGGTTGGGGCTGAATTTGAGAGTGGGGGTGCAGAAAGGTTTGAGCTTGGGTTTGGGTCTGATTGGGTTTGAGGTTTGGAAGAGGATAGCATGAGAAGCCATGACTGAAGCCATGGTTGCTTTGGAGCTTTCTGTTCTGATGAAAGCAGCGAAGTGCCCAATTATACTACCGACTTGTCTTGCGTACAATGCCCTGTTCTGTTTTAGACTGTAGAGATAAGTGAAAACTAACGGCATATAAAATAGGGACCCTATAAAATAATAATAACAATTATTTTTTGTCTTCGGTATTTTATTTTTTATTTTTTGAAATACAGATATATGTCTTGTTTAGCTAAATTCTATACATACGACTATATTATTTAAGAAAAATGCTAGCGTATGTCGCATTCAAATAAATAAGAGCTTTTTCAGAGTTATTCCAGCAAGTTATATGTATCTCATATTATTGTAATGCAAAAACTAATGTTAATCGTGCATGAATCGATGCTTAACAACGAAAACAATATCATTTGTGTAAAAATGTAAAAAGTACGTAAACTTCAATACGATTAACGCTAGCACTTTTCTTATCGTAAAAAATTGAAACTGTTTGGCCATTGTAACAAATTGAAAATGAATTGGTTAATCATTTACTTCTTTATTAAAAAATTTAATTATTTTCCGAATCCGAACAAAACACCTTTGATCTCGATCTTTTGTGAACATCCTAATTGCTTTTATTTTTGTTGTCTTGCCCTTAATTTAAATAGAGTTAAAAGGATTTCCTTTTTCTTTTGAGCTAAACTCCAGAAATTAAAAGAGCAAAAACGAGGCATATATAATAAGACAAAGAATTTTCGCAAAGGCTGACCGACTCTTTTGAGTCTGACGTATGGGCCGACGAGGCAAACAAGCCACCTGCCAGCGCCACGTCTTGAGGCTTCACTGCTTTAGCAATCAGCATCTAGACACGTGTCAACAAACTGTGACACAATCATGAAAGCTCACACCATCATATATAGAGAGATTTTTATATGATCCCAGTGCATCACTTAATCTCATCATCCATTGCAGCTTTCAGCAATGGAGTTGAAACTCAGAAGAAAAAACAATTGCTCATCTGCAGTTTTGCTGATTCTCTGCACTATATTGTTATTGGTCACTACTAGCTTTGGTTCTGCAGATGAAGGAGAGCAGCAGTATAAGGTGGAGGAAAGCAGAAACGATGATGCACCAGAAAAACCATCTTTGTGGAAGATGACCAGAAATGCTTTTCCTCCGTACAAATCTTACCTGGAGAAGGCCAAAGCGCTTTTGAACCAAGGGCAAGCCTACATCTTCCCTCCCAGTTTAGAGTATGTTTTTTTATATAAATATTTTCTTTAGTAATTATTTTGTTTTTGAGGAAGTTAATTAACTATGTGATTATTATTGATTTGGTGTTAGTTTTAAGGGGAGTGGTAATAATATTTATGATGGAGAGGAGGCTGGGAGCAGAGGAGGAGGAGGAGCTGGAGAGAAGGTGAGAGAGGTTGTGGGGAATAGTTTCGGGAAGAGCAAAGAGACGGTTGATTCCTCGGCTAAATCAGCAGCCAAATTAGTTGGGGAAACAGTGCAGAAGACGAAGGAGAAAGTGAAGAGGAGCTTTTCTGACAGAGAAAGTAGAGAACCTCAATATGAGCTCTAGGCTCCTCTGTTTGAGTAACAGAGCATATATTAAGTTTTTGGGTTTTCTTGTAGCATGGATATGCTGGTAATTAAGTTCAAATTTTTGTAGTGAGTGCAGAGCTTGATATAAATACAAAAAATAAAATAAAAGAAAAAAGGATTGGATCAATATGAATTTCGTTTGTTCTCTTTTCATATGGGTTTTACTCCTCTATTTGTATAATAGTGATCCATTGATAAGTAAGAGCATTTCCACCATGGCTGAAAATACCTCTACACCAATGAATTCTAGCCAGCCCATCAAGATTGGGAGCCCGAAGGCACGTTAATGAAGAATTTTTTTATAAAAAAATCGAAAACATTTCTAAAGAAATTTTTTTATGCATACATAGTAATTTTTTATTTATTAATCTCATACATATGAGGTCACGGCAATGGGTGGAAAAGCATAAAAAAGTAGTTAGGGAAAATACTATTTATATGAACAGTAATTATTCTTATTTGCCTTTGGACATCTATTTTAGTAATCGTTCTTATTTGTCTTTGTCATAAACAGTAATCATTCTTATTTGCCTTTGGACATCTATTTTAGTAATCGTTCTTATTTGTCTTTGGACATGACAAATAGATGGAAGTACTAAGTGATATACATTATTATTTTTGTTTCTGTATTTATTATTTTTATTAATACTCAATTCTTACTAAAAGAATTTATAGAGATGGAGAAAACAAAGTGATGTGATGTTAAAAAAAAACAATGCGGAAATGAAGTGAACAGTAATCATTCTTATTTGCCTTTGGACATCTATTTTAGTAATCGTTCTTATTTGTCTTTGGACATGACAAATAAATGGAAGTACTAAGTGATATACATTATTATTTTTGTTTCTGTATTTATTATTTTTATTAATACTCAATTCTTACTAAAAGAATTTATAGAGATGGAGAAAACAAAGTGATGTGATGTTAAAAAAAAACAATGCGGAAATGAAAATCATGATAGAGGCTAAAAATGATTGAAACTCTATTTTTGTTTAATACATCATGATGGAGGCTAAAAATGATTGAAACTCTAAACATCACCACTTCAGCAATGTAAGTCCTTGTCATCTTCCATTTCAGCGTATCTGGTTCATCACATCTGCTCCGTGAGTGCCATTTGGATGACTAGGATTGTGACACGTCATAATTCATTAAAAAATTTATTCTCCCCTCAACTTCTAAAATTCTCCAAAAATACCTCCCAGTATCAAAAAAATTACTACGATTTACTACAAACCCAATTCCCACCTCTACTATTTTCTGTAAACTCCATTTCTACAAATGACTTCAAAATACTTTGCAACATGTTTTCTTACACTTCCAACAATAAATCCAAATAAGTTTCAAAAATTCAACTTAATTTTTAAAAATAACCAAAACTCTAATTTTCACCACTTTGAGCCCCCAAAAGAATTTATTTCACACAAATAATTCCAACTAAAAATAATAAAAAATCTCCAAGGACTCGCAATGTCACAAATTACCCCGAAAATTGTATTTAGATCCAGCTTAATCTTAGCTTGTTTTCTTTCCCTTCGCTATCACCCAGAAGGACAACTAATTTACAATATTTTAACTAATCTTTAGTTTCCCCCAATATTTCAACTTAAAATTTGAAAAGAAACTCGTTAATTTTTGTGGGGATCATGCATCAAATTATGTGTATATACAGACATAACTATTATCTCTGACTATCTTATATACACAAACGAAATGAAAATGACAAGCTGTTAACAATGGAAGTTGTGTGAGTCTCTAACTTGTACTAACAACATTGTAATGAAAGTTGTGTGACTGACTCCATGTAAAAAGGTGAATGCACATATATGAACAGAAACGGCCTTATATATTCAACAATATGAAAATCGATGTCTTCATGGTTGTTATACTTATACTTTTTTTCAAATAAAATTCTATTTTTTATTGCAAATACGATAAAAATAAGCAAGAAATTGCAAACGATACTACTAAATCTTTAAATTCAAAATTAGAACAGAAAATACAAGCTCATTGTCCAACTAATTGGGAAGGCTATGCGGAAAACTGGTCCAGTTTAAGAGTCGGCAATTGTAACCTCCACTTCCACACCAGGTTCAATTGTAATGGATGTAATTTGCTTGACCACATCAGAAGAGCTAAAGAGGTCAATAACCCTCTTGTGGACACGCAACTCAAATCTGTCCCATGTGTTGGTACCTGTAAATCACAAACAAACCCTTTAAAATGCAAATGCAGACAATGTATTTCCGTAACTGGTCAGGTATGAACAGGCCACAGTAAGTCAAGGGTAACCCGAAACCAACTCTAAGAATGACCACAAAAGCCATAACCCTTGTCCATAAACTAGCCCATGAGGCATTCATATATACACTAAAACAACGATAGAAATATAACAATATCATTTGAGCAAGCACATTTCACACAGAAATGTACCTTCACCACAAGGAGCCTTCCTGGTGGTAATGTGCAGAACCTTGGTTGGCATTCTCACGGGTCCCTTAACCCTGAGCCTCTTGTCCTTTGCACCACGAACAAGATCAGTGCACACTATCAATAAAATACATGTCAATCCAACAGGCTAAACAAATATGCAAACAAGAAAACGTGATTCTTATAATCTGAACAATGGTGGATAAACCGATTTTATTTAGACCACGTCACAAAGCCATTAAAGAAAAACAAAATTGAATAACAGTTAGACAATCAAACTCATAAAAACCAGCAAAATCTAAGAGATTAAGAAGATAATTCAGGTATGACAAACCAATCTGATTGAAAAGGCATTGCACTGGTTTCACGTGATATGTACACAATATTATACTGCAACCACAAAGTTTTCTACAAAGTTCAATTCGCACTAACAAATATGCAGCTACTGAACGGGTGTTACGAAAATAGAAAATGGGAACAAACGCGACCCTAAGAGATACTAATTACTAATACAATAGTCCATTTCAAATGAAAAACAAAGAATAAGGACCTATTGCAAGTAATACGAATCAGGCAAAACTAAAATAAATATAATAAGCAAAAGCAGATACCTTTCTCGAGGTTCTTCACGTTCTTGGAAGAGAGAGTGATCCTGATCTTGTGGATCTGCTCCTGAGGCTCCTCCAGCCCTGGCTTGTTTGGTTTCATCGCTGCGTAAGCCATTGTGTTCAAGCTACTTGTTCGCTTTCCTACATATCGAGATAAAACACAACGGTTAATCACATACATCATATTCAATCTATAAGAAATCAGAAACGAAATGAACTTGGTTTCAGTCTGGGAAAATCACAGACCTGGGTGCGGGTGCGGGTGTGGAGGGGAGGAAGGAGGTCTGGAGCTGCGGCTTCTTCAATAACTCTTTCTCAAAGCGATGGAAGGAGCAGCCAAGTCTAGTGAGTTTATATATCATGGGTTATCAGGGTTTTGAGCGCGAAAGTTAAGGGCGGGTCGGGTTGACGATTTTTGAACGTGGGTGACTCTGTGTTTCTGTGACTCTGTGACTCTGTGACTCTGGGCTTCATCAGACAAATTATATTTTTTACTTTCTGTGTTTCCCTACTATTTGTTATTTATCATGATAATAGGGTTCATTTGTTACCAAATTTGGTTTTGGAAAATCTTCTTGGAAATTTTTGGTGACCATATTTTTGGTTCCCATTTTGTTCTATGGTACCTCTTCCTAAAACAAAATTATAGTCATATAATTATTTATTTTGTGTATGCCAGTGCCGCCCTCAAATTAACAGGAGAAGTTGTACTTATTTACAAAACATCTAATGACCTTAATTTACAATATTTTAACTAATCTTTAGTTTCCCCCAATATTTCAACTTAAAATTTGAAAAGAAACTCGTTAACTTTTGTGGGTATCATGCATCAAATTATGTGTATATACAGACATAACTATTATCTCTGACTATCTTATATACACAAACGAAATGAAAATGACAAGCTGTTAACAATGGAAGTTGTGTGAGTCTCTAACTTATACTAACAGCATTGTAATGAAAGTTGTGTGACTGACTCCATATAAAAAGGTGAATGCACATATATGAACAGAAACGGCCACATTAAAATAAACAAAACAACATGCTACAACTACCAAAAGGAAAATCGGATATCCTATGTTGATGCCATGTCTATTTTCAAATTAATTTGTTCATACAATGTTTATTTTCAAAATTGCAAGTATAAATGCCTCACAATACGATACAAACTAGTACTCCAGGGGGGGAAAAAGAAAACCCTAAGAGCATGTTTGTTTATTATGAATGGAGGAAATTATGAATTGGGAATTTAGTAATAGAGAAATTAATGAATTGGAAGAATCCCATTCATAATTTTGAGACCACTAAATTGCTGATTTTAACGTGAAACCCTTGTTGCGAATATCGCATTTGTGTTGGATCTTGTGAGACACGTACGGGGTGTTAAAATTCTGTTGAATTTTGGTCGGTTTCTAGTGAGTTAGGTGTAAGTTTTGTGTATGCTGTTTGCTTATTATCGCTTTCAATTTTGCGATGTAAAAACAATCCTCTGTTTAGGTTGTGCTTTTTAGTTTTTGTGCCAGCTCTTCGTGATAGAATGAAATTTGATAATTTTATCAAGAAACCGAAGGTTCAATTAATAAGTTGACAAATATATCGTATTATTAGTAAAGACATAAAAACTATAAAACAAACTTTTTTACAATAATGGTATTTTAAATTACTGTAATACTCTTAGGATATAATGTACACCACATTGGCATATGCCACTACAAACAGTCCAGTAACCTTGGTACCTTTTAAGACGTTGATTCGCACTCTTCCTCGTACAATATCCTTTTTGCTTTACATGAAAGGTTGATCATATTGATTGAAGTTGAGAAGATGATCATATCCGATATCATTTGACCACTTAATTAAATTATTGAAATCGTGTTCATTGATTTTGTAGGACACAATTAGATGTCTAAATGGTTTCTGATTTGTCTAATTTTTTGCAAGGATAATCTATGAATGAAGACCTAAAAAAAAGATTGTTTGGATCGTTGAAAAAAAAATCGTAAGGTACCCTAAACGGTGTCCTTCAAGTCCGTACATACCTTATATGTTTAATTTTTAATTTTTACCTTTTCTGTGGGTGAGGTTTTTTCGCACTAGTTGGCTAGGTTGATTTCATATTGCCTATTTACCACATATAAAAGTTATTTCTTGATGAATTTTTACCTTTTGTTAGGTAGATTATGTGTATCTTAATTACATGTGTCGAGTTTTTTGATTTTGTGAATGTAAATTATGATGTCTAAATGGTTTCTGATTTGTTTAATTTTTTGCAAGGATAATCTATGAATGAAGACCTAAAAAAAAGATTGTTTGGATCGTTGAAAAAAAAATCGTAAGGTACCCTAAACGGTGTCCTTCAAGTCCGTACATACCTTATATGTTTAATTTTTAATTTTTACCTTTTCTGTGGGTGAGGTTTTTTCGCACTAGTTGGCTAGGTTGATTTCATATTGCCTATTTACCACATATAAAAGTTATTTCTTGATGAATTTTTACCTTTTGTTAGGTAGATTATGTGTATCTTAATTACATGTGTCGAGTTTTTTGATTTTGTGAATGTAAATTATGAATTTTTTGAGACATAAATGTTCAAAATTCAAATTCAAAATCAGAGAGTAACAAATGCATCAAATAAATCACTTTAAATTAGTTTCCATTATTTACATTCAAGGGCAAAATAGTCATAAAAAGTAAGTAATAAATGAAATTTGGGTTTTTATTTAATAACTGTAATACAAGGGTTTTTTCAACATTTTAGTCTTTGACTGGGTCTACATCGAAATACTTGAAGTAAGAATAACATTTTTGGTAGACTAATTCTCTTATTGATATCACAACTACATCTTCTCATGTTTAATAAAATTCTTAAACTTACATGTGCGGTAATTGATAATGTCGGTGTTGGCTTAATTATTACTTTTCTGTTGGTTGATCCTGTCTTGATTGCTGAAACTTTCAAGTTTTCAGGTAGTTGATCATGCATTCCATGAATTTGCAAAAGAAACATGTTGGAAGCAACAATTGAAGCCCCTTAGCCTCTTCAACCACAACTTCTACCCCTCGAACCCCATAATAAGCATATCCAACTTCACCAATTCCACAGGCAAACAATGTCAATTTGGACAAAACAAACATAGCACTATTTAGCTTAATCTTGCTCAGTCTCTTTTCCCTCCCTTATCATCCACAAGTACAATTATTTTGACTATTTATAATAGTATTTCTATACTAATATTTAGTTTCCACCAACATTTCAACTTATAATTTGAAAAGAAACTCGTTTTCAACATCAAATTAAGTGTTATAATACAATTATGCATGTTTGGCTATCTTATATATACACAAACGAAAAGAAAATGACAAGCTGTTAATAATGGAAGTTGTGTGAGTGTGTGATTAATACTAACAACATTGTAATGAAAATCGTGTGACTCTATATAAATTTGGTTAGTCTTATTTGGGTGGTTGGTTGAAAGTTTATACTTTAAATTTTAGAGATGTGAGGCGAAATTTATTATTTATCATAATTTGATGAACTGAATGACGATATTCTAAAGTATAGGAAGGAGTTCGAACTCGGATATAAAGGATGAACACATAGCCTTAACTAACTAGCCTAATTTAGATACACATCTCAAAGTCATTGCTTACCAAACAATGGATTGGAATCTTACTTAAGTATCTCGTAGTACCAAAAACAAAAACAAAAGAAAAAATTAAAGTATATCGGCTGTTCTAACTTGACCAACTCATCCCCAGTTGCCCCTAAATTGAATCCACTATTCTTCAAACCTCCATTAACCAAAAATTAAATCATTAAAAATTCACTAATAAAAAAAGCTTTTGACGGTACGGTCGGTAGTACCGTATTTAAAGTCTCATTCCTCCTCCACTCTCTCACATCTTTCTACCACTCTCTTTCTATCAAACACCTAAATTTTCTCTCATATTTTCCTCTTATCCAAACAACCCTTCAGAATCTACCCTTTCTCTCTTCCCAATTTCCTTTCCCAATGGCAAGGTCCATCTCTCAAACCCTTACCCTAACCCGCCACCTCTCATCCAAATCATCGCCGTCTTCCTCCTCTCGCCTCATAACCCTCCGGGCCCAATCCAACCTTCCTTTTCACCATGAACCAACAACAGACTCATCCACCGACCCTCCTTCTGATCCCCTTTTGCGAAAGCTCGAGGACGCCATCCACCGGATCATGGTCCGCCGATCCGCACCCGATTGGCTCCCGTTTCTTCCCGGTACCTCCTACTGGGTCCCTCCGCCCCGGTCGAGATCCACCGGTCTGGCTCAGCTGGTCGATAAGCTGGCCAACCCTTTGACTGAGGAGGAGACCATGTCTATGACCACCATTAGAGGCTGGCCTTCTTCTGCTTACTTCATAGAAGGTTTGATTGAGTTTTTTGATCCTGTTCATTGGGTTTTGTTCAAAACTAGGTTTCTGAATTGTGGGTTCTCCTGGATTGTTAGTTGGAGTATCTGATTCTTTTGTGCAATTTGATCATCTGGGATTGGTTCTGAATTGTGTAATTTTCTGTATTTAGGTGAGAAATTGGTGCTAATGCTTTATCTTCCTTTCTATTTGTAGGTGCATCTCCACAACCGATGGAGGCGATGGATCAAAGTTCTAATAACGTGTCCTCCAAGTCTGAAGATGAGGAAGGATGAACAATGTATTTCTCAAAACCGGCATCTGAGGTGAGCTTGATATCAGATCAATTGCCTGATTTTATAATTGTTGGAAGAAATGTTTTTGCTCAATTAGTAAAATCAATGCCATTCATTTTGGATTCTATCTGGTGGAATTTAATGTTTTGGGCAGCAAATAATCAAACTAATTTGGGGGTAAACTGGATTAACTGAGGCTATTTAGTGGAGGTTTATAATTACAGATGTTAAGCTGCTGCATATGCGATGACCGAAGAGAAATTCTTTTTCTTCCCTAAAGTAGCAAACATATTTTATGAATACAATATAGGTTGACCAATGCCTCAATATGGAACGTAATGAATTACAGTCTCTGTTGGGAACATCTGTTTTGAGCTTGTTCACTCTGCTTCAGATCAGGTGTTTAAGGCCATGGTTAATTCACAGCCCTTTATTAAATTATCATGAGAGGTGTGTGCAAGCTCTGAATTTGGATGCTAATAAATCATCAATTGTTGAATTGATATATTTATGTGAGAAAATGGATTTGGAGTGAATGTCAAATATGATCTTTTAGTATACCGGTGATTTTTACTTGAAAAGAGTTGATGCTGTGTTGTGGGGGCTAATCTCCCTGGTTCAAATGACGGGGCTGCTTATCTTAGAATATTTGTTTTGCATTCCTGACAAGCAGTTGATAACTAGGCAGAAATAAATCTGTCCTGTTCTAGATGGACTTGTTCCTTCAATTTTAATATTGGTTAAGCAAAGCTATTGCTTGAAAGCTAATTATGCCTTGGTTGCTGGGATACGCAGGCTCATCTGGTCTTGTAAATTGTATGTTGGAGGACAAAAGGTGCATTGATGAAAGGCATTTCGTCAAGGTGAAGAGCTGTACAGATGCAACCTGGTTAGCCAGGTAGAATGACTTCTATCCAAGAGTTCCAAGTTCACAACCCAAAAGGAGTTTACTGTAATTATTTTTCATGTATGTACAGTTGATTATCGTAGTTTAATTTCAGTTGAATTGTATGTTATTTGTACCCTACCTTGCGTGTTTAATTTGCTCTATTTGGGTTTACCATCTACATTTCAGTTTTTATCTGAATGTCCATGTAAATATAGTGAAAATTACATCAATCCTTTTTGTTTCATTGATATAATAATACCTCAGCTCGTTTTCGGAATTAACTATTATGTTTTGGCTTGATGCATTGATTAATTTCTTTTGTGCGACCGGCCATCATCTGTGTGTTGTTAATAGTTCAAAAGTAGTTAGAGGAGGAAAAGGGTTTTAAAATAAAACTAGGCATGTGTTTTGAACAGATTTTTATTTCAATTGTTTAATGTGGGTTGTTTCTCATTCAAGAAGGGAGGGCTAGTTTATGTTTGTGATGACTTAGATTGATTGGTAGTAGTTGGTAGGCTCTTTCCAAGTTATATTTTAATTGAATGGCCTTGCTAAGAATTAGGTGGCGCTTTTGGTGGTCTAATATATGTATTTTGAGGCAGGCCGATGCAACACGTGTGTACGATGTACAATTTATTCTGAACTATTAAACTAATTTTGCGGCATCTCAACCTATTACCCTCCGTTTGGATGAGGGACAACTCGAAATTTAGCTAAAAGAATTGACAATTCCTTTGTTTGGTAAGTTAAGCCTGGAATTTATTAAATGACACACGGAAAAAATCGTAGAAATTGGAGCATTAAATTCCCGAATTTAATTTCCATCAAAATAGTCATTATTTCACAATTGTCAGTGTCATTTACAAAATTCGATATACATAAATCCAAACATCGAAATCTTCAATTGCCAAAAATTGAAATGATGGAAATTGAAATTTTGTCATTTTAGAATTCTATGTAGTTTTCACTTTCTTCATCTTGGATGGTTAAGGTCTATTATAACAACTGCAATAAGTCAACTTTCATGTTTGAAAACCTCTAATATTTGTCCCCATATCTTTGGAGGAAAAATTTACGTCGACCTGAGTGATGGGACATCTATTCCTACACATTTGTAACATCATGTCACATGAGTGTTGTAGGAACAGTTGTCCAATCTCTCGCCGGGGTATGTAAATTTTTCTTCATGTAAGACATCATCGTCTCATAAGAAACCCAGAGGTTTCCATTGTTCTCAACCAGTATGAAACCATATGTCTACACCTTTCGACCAAAAACAAAACTGACAATTTGACAGGAATCATAAAGGTTTGTGAGATGCAGAAGTCATATATGAATGAAAGCAAGGAAAATTAAGCCATTTTTGGTGACTAAACCTATCCATGGATGAATAAGATTTAGGCTACTATTTATACTGGTGATTTTCTAAAGGATTGGAGACAATAAATGGAGGGTTTAATGAAATAAACTGATGCAGAAACTAAAGAAAATTCTTTTGGTCAGAAACTGATGTGTATTCTTTATCTAACCTGATATGTTGTGAGGAGGATAAGTATATGGAATAAGAACTGCACAGAAACTAAAACAAAATTTAATTCCATTTGTAACCCACCCATCTCAGCATTAAAATCTTCATGGTTTCCAATCTCATTGCTCTTCTATAAATCCTCTTACCCTCTCTCCAGCAATCCACAGAGCCAATCTAGCTTCCCTTTCTCTGACCTAGTATAAAACTGGGAGTTCCAACTTTGACAAAACCATGTCTAGAGAAGCTCGAGCAATATTTTCACTACTGCTAATGGCAGCATGTGCTGCAACCGTGCTGGCGGATGTGCCACCCTCGCCCTCTCCGACGATCCAAGGCCTATTGCCACCCGGGGCCCCAAGCTTTTTGCCACCAGGGGCTCCAAACTTTTTGCCACTGGGTGCTCCAATGATCCCAGGCCTATTGCCATCAGGGGTCCCAAGCCTTTTGCCACCAGGGACTCCAGGCTTCTTGCCACCAGGGATACCAGGCTTCTTGCCACCAGGGATCCCAGGCCTATTGCCACCAGGGAAACAGGGAGACATAGAAGCAGAGTGTTGGTCTTCACTTCAGGGCATTCCGGGGTGTGTATGGGAAATTTATGGCTCAATCTTTACTGGGAAACTCTCACTAGGCCCTGCTTGTTGCAAGGCTTTCCAATCAATTGATGCGAATTGCTTGGCTAAATTGCTCCCTCCTTTCTTCCCTCCATTGCCCCAGGGAGACTGTGCTCCAGGGATTGTTGCTGCTTCTAAAGCAGTTGGGTCAAAGCAGTAGTGGGCAACTGAGAGGATAGTTCTTGCAGGCAAAAAATTATATTTTTGTTCTCGATTAGTCATTGTCATGCAAGTTTTACGTATAACTTGAGTTTTGCTTAGGTTGTGAATTGTGATGAACATTTTAAAGAGTATAACATCTGATGAATCTTATTGCACTAAGTCTCTCTCTCTCTCTCTCTCTCTAAAATTCCCGGGGTAGGGTGATTGTATACGCTTCCCCTTTCATATTTACCGATTATGTGTTGTTCACATGATGAGATGATTGTGGAGAGTGTTAGTCATAAAACAGTGTCAAGATAGGGTCAGCATGTTGCCGGTCCAATATACTTCCAATTAAATATTTTCTTCCTTCCTGGCCATAAGAACAACTGTGTGCTGCCATGAGAGGGAAAATTTTGCATATTTCCTAGTTTCTCTTCCAAGAGAAACTCAAGATTTTTTGTGGCTTTCTATTACCAAAATACTTAAGTTTCTAATTTGCCCATAAATTTTAGCTCAAGTGATATGGGATGAGATGAGATCTTTTTTTAGAGTTCAGATCAAGTGGCATTGGCTTGTAACTCTGCAATAACATTTTATTGGGATTCTGGGTACATTTACATGAGAAAATAAATTCCACTAACTCAGAGGTACTTTTTTTTTTTCTTCTTCTAAATTTGCAACAAAATCCTAAATTCAGATAAATGGTTATTAAATTGAGGAAATCGAAAACAATGATGCTTGAACTTGGAAATCATGCAAATCAGACATTAAGTCACCAATGAGGTCCATTATAGCAACTGCAACAACAATACGGATTCCTATATACCATATACTGGGATTAGAAACTCCTGTATGGTATCCATAGATGGGTTTTTAACCTGCAACATTTTTGTTCATACACAGAAAATGTTATGACTTCAACAGTAGCTAAAGTAGATTTGCATTGCCTTACTTTCGCTACTCAGTAAAGAACGAAAATTTTTGGGGACTAGGGTAAACAAAGTTGGCTTATATTTTGGTCGATCCACAAAGATATCCTCCTCAAGTGAAAGTTTTGCGTATAACGGGTGTATAGTACATTTGAGATGTTGAATGTGAGAGTGACGGTGTATACATAAGCTGATTGTATGCAAGAATTTTCCCAACATCTCTTAACATTCTAGAAGTATGAAACCATATGTGTACACCAATGACGGAAAAAAATGAAGCCTGTTCTTTTTCCAACTAGGTAAGGTATGAATATTCAGGTCTTTAAGATCATAGGCTTCTTCCTAAGAAACTATTGCACCAAAGCCATGCATGACAAGTATCACTGTCCCACTGAAGGGTTTTAGTCCATTTTGGTGAGAGCAATAACGCTTGTGATGTGGCCAAAAGTAAAGCAAGAGCTTGTAGTGTTGGAATCAAACTAAATAGAGAATTAATTGAAATAAATTCTGGCAGGGTCGTTATAACTTTTGAAGCTCATATGGTCTTAGATCAGAAACACTATGGCAAACAGTTATAATGTTACTTAATAATGCTCATTAAAATAAAATAAAAACTGCACTATAACTAAATTCAATTTAATTCCATTTGTAACCCAGTTACCAGAGCATCAGAGTCTTCAACTTAGCTCAGGCTCATTGCTCTTATATAAATCCTTACCCTCTTCTCTCCAACCATCAACAAAGCCAATCTAGCTAACCCTTTTCTGATATAGTGCAAAAGTAAGAGTTCCAGGTTTGCCAATAACCATGTCTAGAAAAGTTGAAGCAATATTTTCACTACTGCTAATGGCAGCATGTGCTGCAACCGGCCTGGCGCATGTGCCCCCCCCACCAGCATTGCCTCTCTTTCCACCGATCCCAGGCCTATTGCCACCAGGGATCCCAGGGTTGCCGCTGCCAGGGAACCAGGATGACATAGCAAAGTGTTGGTCTTCACTTCAGAACGTTCCAGGGTGTGCATGGGAAATTTATACCTCAATCTCTACTGGTAAATTTGTAGTAGGCCCTGCTTGTTGCAAGGCCTTCCACGCAATTGACCAGAATTGCTTGCTGAAAATGTTCCCGTTCTTTCCTTCATTTCCTCCATTGATCAAGAGAAACTGTGCAAATGCTGCTGCTCCTAAAGCAGGTGGGTCAAAGCAGTAATATGCAGTTGAGAGGATAGTTCTCAGAGGAAATAAGTTGACTTCGTTTTCAATTAGTCACATAGTCATGCAGAGTTTTTACCTTCTGGTGCCATTTAAGTTGCTTTGGTTTTGGAGAATTCAGGATTGTGATATGTATTTGAAGGAGAATAACAGCTAATTAACCTCATTAAAATAACTCTCTCTCTCTCTCTCTCTCTCTCTCTCTCTCTCTCTCTCTCTCATACATCATTGAAATCCCTTCTTTCTTCCTTTCCCAAAAACAACTGTGTAACCATCAATGGGAAAAAAAAGATTAGCAATATTTCCTAGTTCCTCTTCAAAGGGAAATGCAAGACACCATCTTCTAATAAAAAAAGTAAATTAGCAAACCAAATGATGATGCAGCTCAAGTAGTATTAGATGAGGTCATTTTTGTAGATTTTAGATTCAATTCCTTTTGCAAGGAAAAAGAAAACTGGAATGTGGTGGACAGATCATCTGTATTTTGACACTTCGTAATAACATTTGATTGGGAACATACACAGGCGAAATAAACTCCACTAAAATGGAGGCAGGTTTTCTAAATTTGCAACAAAATAAAATCCCAAGTGCTTATGTAAAACAATGATGCTTGAACTTGATAAGCATGCATATCAGGTGCTTATGTAAGTCACCATTGAGGTATATTATAGCAAATGCAATAACTATACATATCCTCATGCATATCAGGTGCTTTGTTTATAAAAACAACTTTATTGGAGTGTGGATTTTCGATGTGGGATTTTCACAAAGGGCACCTCAAAA